CCCCCTGGGCAGCTTCCCCTGCAGCAGCCAGAGGCCACAGCCCTTCCATGTGAATGGGACCCCGGGGGAGGCAGCCAGGGAAGCATCTGGGGCGAGGAGAGAGAATGCCAAATGGGGTAAATTACCACTTTTCCACTTGCTTCTTGGAGTTATTGAGAAGATCACATGGGAGAAACCACATGTATGTTCTCTCAATGGAGAAAGTTAGAGACAGGTTAGGAAGTATTTTCACTTAGAAAAGACGTCTCTGATGCCATGGAATGTAGAAGAAAGCGCAGGGGCACCACTGAAGGGCAGGGAAGGAAGGGCGATCATTTGGCACGTGCTCAGCACACACACCTCCTGGCTGCAGGGTCAGAGGATGCCATCATCATGGTGCAAAGGAAAGAGAAAATTGGTGCCAGCCTCACTCACTTCATGTTGCAAATACGGTGATACCAAAATCCTCTCCTTTAGGAACTAGTCCTTTGGAATTAGCAATACGGATACCATATTTTGCAAGCCAACCTTATTTTTAAAAAGTCTTCAAGAATCATTTAGGTGTCAGAATTTGAGTTGAAAATGAAAATTTGCATCAGCTTTGGTCATATTCGATCAGTTTTGAACTGTTTATCCTCCAAATACATTCCTTCCTGTCTTTTCACTATGTACCACCCTCAGGTAGGACCCAGAAGAGCAACCTGCAGGAAGTGCTCTCAGTCACTCACAGCTGAAGGCCCCAAGAAGGAAGAAAAAGAGGCGGGGCAGAGGATGGAGAGCTGGACATCTGGTAACCTGGTCCACCCAGCTGTTTGGGGCCTGGAATCCTTGTCTTACCTACCCCTAAGAGGATGGTTTAGTTGGACTCAATATTTTAAAATTAAATTTAGTCAAATGATGTCATGTTGTAGATGAAACCTACAGTACATTTTTTTAATAGTCCATGAAGAAAGCACTAGGATCTCTTTTTTTTTTTTTTTCTTTTTTGTGACCAGTAAGGGGATCGCAACCCTTGGCTTGGCGTCACCCGCACTGCGCTCAGCCAGTGAGTGCACCGGCCATCCCTATATAGGATCCGAACCCGCTGCAGGAGCGCGCTGCGCTCCCAAGCACTGCACTCTCCCGAGTGCGCCACGGGGTCGGCCCCTAGGATCTCTTTTTAATGCTCTCGTTTGGTATAATGGCATGAAGACTTACTAGAGAACTACTGAAGGGAGACGGCACATTTATGAAGAGATCCTGATGAAAAAACTTATTAGAAAGAAATCCCAGTGTACATGCAAAATAGACCTTTATTTTTGTGCTCAGTTCTGCTAGTCTTGTGTATAGAAACAGAGACTGATCAAGCTCTGAAATTAATGGGTAGTATGTTACCTCTGCTTAGGAGAATTAAACACAGTCTCCTGCTCCCAGCGAGGCAGCTAGAGCAAAACACAGTGGAAATTGCAACAGGAGGCTAGGGAGTCAATGAAGACTTCCCCTGTGTAAAGCCCTAGAAGCGAGAGTAGATAATTAGCAGCGAAGAACTTTAAATAAGGCCTGGGGAAGATGGGAAACAATAAAAGGCTTTTCTCAACAGAGAAAGAATTCAATTTTAATTCTAAAATAGTGATTGGTGATTTGAGTTTAGTAAAAATGGGCACTCCCTAGATACATCTACTCATATTCCTTTATAATGTACTGTAATTTGGGTATCATATTGTTTGAGCAGGGTTTTGATATTAACAACGAAATACCCTACGCATCTAGACAAAGAGTGAAGGATCGCAGCATGTATTTAATAACCACACTCAAGGAAAGGTTCTCTATGGAACGACGTGGCCCTCGGGGAGCACGCTGGGTGCCCACTAGCATGTGTTTATTCATTGGTTCCCTCTTCAGTCAGTCCTTGGGCTTGTCCTGTGAGCTGGACCCTGGCAACTGGGATTCAGAGGAAGACAGAGCCTGGCCCCTACCTTCTAGGACTTGTGCCTACACGGCCAGTGCAAGGGAAGTGTTCCATAATGTCAACCTCGACAGGAGGCAGGGGTCACCTCGCTACGTGGGACATCGCACAGTGGTGGTGATGCTTGAGTTCAATCTTGGCATTCCCCAGGGGGCGGGGGGCAGGGACTAGCATTCCAGGGAGGGAATAACTAGTCTATGCAAAGGCACGGAGACCTGAAAGACTGGGGAGAAAAACTACAAGTGGTTTAGTGTGGTTAGTGTGCAGAGGGCGTTGCAGGGGCGGAGGGCAGTGGCTGGGGACAAGTGAGGCTAGGTAGCAGGCTTGGGTCAGACCACCAAGAGGCTAAGCTAGGACAGGAAGGGGCGGAGGAAGGAGGAAACTGAAGGATTTTTTAAGTGGGGGAGGGGCAAGAGTAGATGTGCACACGCGGAGGATTACCCTGCTCTCTCGGACTCACGGAGAATGCCTGGCATCGGGGCTGGAGGAGGCTGCGGCGACTGAGAGCCCCTGACCTAAGGCAGCACGGGTACAGCAGAGCTGAGAAATATTTGCAAGTTAGGATCACAATAACGTGGAGACCGAGGGGTGTGGTGGGTGAAGGACAGGAAGCAGCCAAAGCTGACTACAGACTGTTGCTTGGACGACTGTGTGACTGGGTGGAAGAGTGAACTGAGACAGGTTTGTGGGGAACTACGATTTCAGTCTCAGGTGTGCTAAATATGAGATTCTGTGCACTCAGGTAGAAACATCCAGCAGGTGGTTGGAAATAATGCGCTTCCCGCCACGTGTCTCATGTCAGGCAATGACCATGCCCGGTCTTCAGACCTCCCTCATCTTCCGGATGAGAGAACAAGCTCAGAGACCATGAGCAGCCTGCCCAGGGGCACAGAGCTGGGTGAGGGTGGGCTCGGGATGCGAGCCTGAGTCTTAGTTACCGATGCCCCATCCCCTCAAGTTATCCACCATGGCTGCTTTTTCAAAAAGCCACCTGGGGGCCTTTGAAGAAAACCCACTGCAAGTCCCACGCTTGGAGTCCGAGATTCTGGTGCAAGAGCACCGGAGAATGGCCTGGGTTGGAGAGAAGGAGGAATGGGGTCCGCAGTGTAACTGGAGTCAAGGAAGCAGCAGATGTGAGTGACATCAGGCAGGGAAAAAACGCAGAGAGGTGGAGCCATGACAAGCCTCAGGAGGAGGGGGACAGGGAAGGACGGAGTGGCTGACAGTGTCAGACATGCAGCAGGAGCGCGTGTGGTCAGGCTGGGCAGTGCTGACTGGATCCAGCCTGTGAGTCGTCCTGAGCGGCCTCTCCCACCTAAGAGTAGAAGCCAGTCCCCCAGGGCTGGGGAGTGACTAGGAGGCAAGAGAGGGGAGACACCAAGTCCGTGCACTGCCCGCGGAGCCTGGTGGGCAGGGAAGGAGGTGCCAGTCCACACTGCAGAACCAGGGCAGCCACATGTACTCAGGAGTGTGTGTGCGTGCGTGTGTGCAACACACACGTGTGCAAATAGGGGAGGCGAGCCTGGGATTTTGCTGAGGTGAAGGACTCAAGGGACAGGAGCCCAAGAGAGAGGAGAGGAGAGTCCAGGGATAACCCACGGAGCAAGGCCCCGGGGCAGCAGGTGACGGGCCTCCAGAGCCTGGTGGGCAGATCAGCCTTGGATGGTAGGGGGACACTAATGCTTTGACACTGAGGGAAAGACAGAGTTTTCACAAGCCCAGAGGTGGGGGATAAGAAGCGGAGGGAGAGGCTGGAAGATGGTTTCTGCAAAGAAGTGGAAGGCAAGGCCACGGGAGAACAAAGGTTCGCACCCAAAGACAGCCGCAAACTCTAAGTGAAATGGAGGATGAGTCCTGCATCCCTTTCCCCAACCCTTGCTCAAAATCCACCTTCGCCTCTTTTGTGAGCCTGAGTCCAAGGTCATGGCTCTGTGACTCCAACTCGATGCCCCTGTTGGCCCCAGGGTTGGGTTTTGCATGCTCTTTAGGCCTCAGCTTGTTCCTCTTGACTTTGCTGTGATCCACCTTTACCGCTCTGAGGAAACCTATGGCCTCAGATGAAAATTTGTTCACCCCATTGCAGCCCCCGGAAACCACCACACACCCACCCATCCGCACACTCACCTGGCCCCTGGTAAGCCAGGACTGGCACCTCCCTCCCACCTCCCAACAAGGGGAGAGGCAGGCAGGCGATTGGTTCCAACTGCAACTAAATTAGAAGGGTTTAAATCCTTACAAATAAAAGGGAAACAATTCCTTCATATTCATGACAGGACTGAATGCTTTTCTGAAGGGTCAGTTAAATAATGTTGCAATTGGAGCCAGATGGATGAATAACCAGCAGGTGAAAGGTGTGACATTGAAGGGGCAATAATCACAGAACGCACTCTGTGCAGGAAGCCTCCCGCCTCTGCTTTTCCACCCTAGTATTTAGAGGTCATGGATCTCAACTCAAAAACAGATCAACAGTGCAAAGATATAAATGAATATTCAAGGGCTAGTAGAATCGGGTACACTTACTTTTTTGGATCCTCCTGAACGGGGGGCGATTTTATATGAGAGCAAGAGAGAGCATACTTGTTTTGGCTGATCTTAATAAGTGCACTCCGAGGGCAAAATTCCTGCAATAACACCAAAAGAGTTCACACAATTTAAATCAGAAATGTCCACAATTCAGATATAATTTTATTCTAGCTCAACCCACTATGAAAGCTACTATCATTATCCTCTTCAGTGTGACACTTAAGAGGGCAGTTTAAATTCAGAGCCTCACTCGATAATTATTTGCTGAATAAAAGTCCTTTATTTGCAGAGTCCTCTCTGTCATTTCTCTTGGTCAATTGCCAAGTCTGCCCACTTAAGATGTGTGCGTACACACACACACACATGCACACACATGCACACACACATGGACACGCACACACACACATGCACACACACATGCACACACACACGGACACACACACACATGCACACACACGCACGCACACACACACACACACGGACACACACACATGCACACACACACATGCACGCACACACATGCACACACATGCACACACACATGGACACGCACACACACACATGCACACACACACATGCACACACACACGCACACACACGGACACACACATGCACACACACACGGACACACACACACGCACACACACACATGCACACACGCACGCACACACACACACGGACACACACACATGCACGCACACACACATGCACACACACACATGCACACACACACATGCACACACACACATGCACACACACACATGCACACACACACATGCACACACACACATGCACACACACATGCACACACACACGGACACACACACACATGCACACACACGCACGCACACACACACACACACGGACACACACACATGCACACACACACATGCACGCACACACACACATGCACACGCACACACACACTACAACAGCCCTTTATATAACCACCTTTCTTTTTATCTTTATTTCAGCCTTGGCCATCTCTTTCTTGGACAACTATAGCCACCACCCCTTTGCTGAATACCCCACCCTCAGCCTCATAGGGTCTCCCAGAATCTCCATCGAGCTGTCTCCAGTGTCCTTCCCCTGGCCATGCTACTCCAGCATCCAGGGCCCCCCTGTCCTGTGGATAAATTCTGAAGTGCTTCCCTGGGCTCCGAGGTCTTTTCTCAGGGATCCTGGGCCAACTGCCTCATCTCTCCACACACCCTGGGGACATCTCTTAAAATGTCCCTTGGTTTGCTGTCCCCCCTTGCACAGTAGATATCCCCAGAATAGTGCCACGTGCCAGGAAAGCTTCCCCATGTTCCGCCTTCCACCCTGCTGCTTTCCTGCTGTCAAGACAGCTCCAGGAAACTCCATTTTCTCCAGGGGGTTCTTCCTGGGTTGATGAGACATCCCCTCTCCTCTTGCCTGTCAGATGGGATACAATGCTCCTGTGGCCACCGGCTCCCATGATAGTCACCCTTTGCCCTTAACCTTAAAGTTCCTTTACTATGCTCCTCTCCCTGATGGAAGTACCTCATGCCACAGTCAAGAATTTACTGGATATTTGTATTCTGTCTACTAGCCGGTTGGGCACAGTGGTTTGGAGTTCAGGCCATGGAGCCAGATTGTGTGCTTACCAGGTGTGTGACTTAACCTCTCTGATTCAGTTTCCTTATCCGAAAATGGGGGTAGCAACAGTCCCTACGTCACCCGTGTTCCGAGGACTCAGTTGCTCGCTACATGTGAGATACCTGGCTTTGTACCTGCTGCACACAGTAAGGGCTTAATAAAGTTAGCCACTGTCACTTTGCTTTTTGCTTACCAATCTATTTCACTTGCCAGTCTATTTTCCAGGCATGTTAAGTGGCCCATCAAGACAATGTTATTTTCCATTAGAAATGGGACTGATTCAAGGGATTTAAAAAACAATCATGGGAACCTGCTCTTCATCAGGGGCTGTGCTTGGGGAGGAAGCCAGCATAGGAAGAGGGCAGGGCAGTGCGCAGGACAGCCCTGAGGGGCCCAGCAGGACGTCACACTGGGGTGGGTCTTTAGGGTGACAGGAGTTCCCTATGGAAAGGAGGTAAGGAGGGCAGTCCAGTAATAGGTACAAGCTCAGGGGCTTGGAAGAGCCCACTATGTTCAGGAAGCAGCAGGCAGCAAACCTCCCAGTTAGCTGGAGGTCAAGGTCGGGGGCAGCTGGGGACAGGCTGGGCTCCTGCTGGGATTCTCCTTGAGGGTGACAAGAAGTGTAGGCGGGGGACATCACACAGGCAAATGACATAATCAGATTTGTAAACTGATAAAGAATTTTTCTCAAACTTTTAGAAAAAATACATTTAGAGAAATACATTGTTAAGGACAAATTTCTTAAACAAAACACAGAAAGGGCAATTTATAAAGGACAAGCTGAATAAATTTGACCATATTAAATTTTAAAGTTTCTCTATCAACAAATATTACAAAATTGAAAGTCAAGCATAGACTTGGGAAAAGAATATTGGCTGCATGTAGTACCAAGAATTACTACCCAGAAGCTATAGAGGAACTCTCCAAATCAATAAGACAAATAATCCAATAGAAAATACAGGTGCTTAACAAACCTCTGTCTAATGAGCGAATCGATCTAGAGGTGATAAGAGTTAACCAAATCCCTCCCGCTCATGGGCTACAGGGAATGAGAGGGCAAAAGATTCAAAGTGATGCTATTAACTACCAGGGCTGCGTCATTACTACTATTACCTAATACCTGTGCGTCAGACACGCAGAGCTTTTACATATACAGTATTTTCCACTCGGGGCTGATTGAATCTGTAGATGTGGAACCTGAGGATAAGGAAGGCTGACTTAAGAGTTGAGCCTCCCCTGATTTTGGAATCCATGAGGGCACCAAATCTCCCGCAGATACCAAGGGATGACAGTATTTTCTTTAAGGATATATGTGTGTGTGTTTATCTATATATTCAGTCATGTGTGCTTAATGGCAGGGATACGTTCTGTGAAACGTGTCCTTAGGCGATTCTGTCGTTGTGCTAACATCATAGTGTACTTACACAAGCCTAGATGGTATGGTCTGCTGCACACCTCCAGCTCTACTATAACCTTACGAGACCACCATCACAGATGCAGCAATTTGCTGATTGAAACATATTTATGTGGTGGCATGACTGTATAGGCAGACATAGATATTCCAGTAGAAAAAGATATCGGTACAGATGTAGATATGGATATATAGAAAACCCACTGCACATACAATGAAACCGAGGCTCAGAGAGGTGAAGCGACCCGCCCTGATGAGACAACCACTAAAGAGCAGAGTGAATGCTCAGTTCATTTTTTTTCACTGTAAAGCCTGTGTTCTTTTCACTCTGCTCCACTTTACCTGTGTCCCCTCATCTCTCAGCCAACCCTGGTGGTGGTTCGTTCCTAAGCAGGTGTGAGATGGGAGCCAGGTGGTGGCACTCCCCAGTACAGGGAACGCAGGAGGAGGAAGGCGCCTGGGGGAAAGGTGATGTGGCTCACCTGGAGGGAGCTCTCCAGGAGGACCCAGCTGGGAATGCAGGGTTGGAGCTCAGGTTGGGAGTGGGGGCTGTCACCCCTGGCACATGGGAGGACCCCAACAATGGAGGCTCACCCGAGAGACAGGCCATGAGGCCACAGAGGAGGACAGGGCTGGGAGGGCCCAGGGGAGGCCCACATCTGCAGGGCTGGCAGAGGAGCACAGGCGGGAGCAGTCCGAGGAGGAGGAGGACAGGAGTGAGAGACAGGGTGCTGCAGAGCCCCAGAGAGCCTGCTCTGCTGTCAAAGCACAGCTCAGTTTGGCAAGGAGAGCCAAAGACCGCCCGGCACAGGAATTAGGAGGCCAGGCCGATCTCAGTGAAGGTGGAATCCCAGCCACAGGGAGTGAGAGAGGAGGGTGAAGGACACAGCCAGGGAAATCATTCCTTCACGACATCTGGCAGTGACAGGAAAGAGCTAGCATTGCCCCGGAAAAAGCCACGTTCTGCCCAGCATGAAAATCCTGTTCCAGATGGAAGTCTACTTACTCTCCGATTGTTGCACTTCAAAACTGTGTACAATTTTTCTGAGGATGCATCCTGATTGGGAAGTGCTATGACAATGCCAGGGACATAGAAGTCAAATCCTTTGGGGATCACAATTTTGGCAAACACATAATCTCCAACCTGTAGAGGAGAACATAGTTTATAATAAATTTGTTCCTTATAGATCATACAGATAGTTTAATGTTTTTTTTTTTTTTCCTTCCTTTTTGTCTTTTTTCGTGTCCGGCAACGGATTACAACCCTCAGTGTCGCGCCCGATCCCTGGCCCTGGTGCTGGGATGAGGACAGGGGTAGGAGGGCCCGACCCAGGATAGCTTTTATGAATTTATGAGCAGATGAGAACACACTGGTCCAGCTAATCCAAGGGATGAACGTTTGGGATAACTGTGCACTACAGCAGCACAGTCTGATGTCAACTGACTGCAATGTCAAGGAAAGCACAGCATTTGCTCTTGTTATTATATATAATATAATACAATCTTTTGCAATTAAAGTGTCAAGAACAGAAGCAGCTACAGCAATGCCCTTCCCCTAACCATCTATTTTCTTGTAAAGGGCTTACAAGGGCCTCAGGGTGCAATGATATTAAGTCTTTGCAGCCCTGAGTACCGTAACAGGGAACTGGCAGATTTCATGAGCAAAGAAATTGCCAGGCGATGGGTCCCTGGAGCAAGGGCTCTGCTCTTCCCACCCAAGCACAAGCTCCGCACAGGAGCCCGCCTGGGTTCAGGAAAGGGCCAAACAGTGGCCTTGCCAGGCCCTGTTATCCAAAACCCTTTGGATGGTGAAAAGGGGGCCCAGAAGAGACTGTGGAGCAGGTACCTGGAGCATTGGGCAGGGCATGGCACCCCCCACAGGCGTGATGAACGAGGTGGGCACAACCTTGGTGTCTCCATACCTGAAGCTCACCAGTGCGTGGGTGGGGCTCACACACTTCTTCACAACCCCTGGAAGGAGTTAAAGAAAATGTAACGTGTGAAGACAAATAAGGGCCATTCCCTTAGGCTTCCCCAACCTATTGGCTGTGCTGTTATAACACATTGCCTGTTAAGATCTGTGTGCCCCTTTGATTTCTCCAGCAGATAATGTTGGGTACAGTATGATGCCTACTGTCTTGAACAACACCAAGATGCCTACTTGGTGAAGTGCAATCCTGTGGTCTGGGGCACCCGCCGAGGTGGGAGCCAAGGGAATGCACGGGAACTTGTTCACCTGCATTGCCAGAGCCATCCTCACGGGAACGCTGTTCCTAGACTCAAAGATCTTCTTCCTGGACACCTCCTACCATCTGATTTCATTATTCATTTATTTTAGCCCCATTTCCCCACCTGTAATACTTGAAATAAAAATAGGTATCATTAAATTGTGAAAGTAAAAAGGAAAGTTGAACTCCCTCCCAAATCAGCATGTCATCTAATATTAGATTGAACACACCCCTATGGCTTCCCTAAAATGTACAATCAAAAAAGAAAAAAGAAGTGCTAAAGCAAACTAATTTGTTGTCATACAGCTGTTTATAATCATTCGATTCTTCATATTTCTGTGGTATCAGTTGTAAGGTCTCTCTTTTCATTTCCGATATTTGGGTCTTCTCTCTTTTTTTTTTTTTTTGTTAACCTAGTTAATAGTTTTTCTATTTCATTTATCTTCTTGAAAAACCAACTATTTCTTTTGTTCAACTTTTCTATTGTTTTCTGGGTCTCCATTTCATTTAGTTCTGCTCTGATCTTAATTATTTCTTTCCATCTGCTACCTTTAGGATTGGATTGTTGTTTTTCTAGCTCTTTGAGGTGTAGCGTTAGGGCGTTTATTTGAAGTCTTTCCATTCTTTTGATGTAAGTGTTTATTACAATAAATTTCCCTCTTAGTACTGCTTTTGCAGTATTCCACAGGTTTTGGGATGATGTGTCTCTATTATCATTAGTTTCAAGTAATTTTTTGATTTCTCATTTAGTTTCTTCTTGGGCCCATAGGGCATTCAGGTGCCTATTGTTTAGTTTCCATGTGTTTTTTCCAGAGTTTTGCTTATTAATTTCCAGTTTTAGTCCATTATGGTCTGAAAAGATACTCGGAATGATTTTTATTTTTTTTAATTTGCTGAGACTAGATTTGTGACCTAATATGTGGTCTATCCTGGAGAATATTCCATGTGCTAATGAAAAGAAAGTATATTCTTTAGTTGTTGGGTGAAATGTTCTATATATATCTGCCAGGTCCAGTTGGTCTAGGGTGTAGATTAAATCCTGTGTCTCTTTGTTGATTTGTTGCCTGGAAGATCTGTCCCATACTGAGAGAAGGGTATTCAGGCCATCCACTATTAACATACTAGGGCCTATTTCTTTCTTTAGATCAAAGAGTGTTTGCTTTATATATCTGGGTGCTCCAATATTGGGTACATACATATTTATGATTATTATGTCTTCTAGCTGGATAGATCCTTTTATCATCATATAGTGGCTTTCTTTGTCTCTTTTTATGTTTTTTGGTTTAAAGTCTATTTTATCTGATATAAGAATAGCTACAAATATGAAAACCTGGAAGATATGGATAAGTTTCTGGACACATACAAACTACCCAGACTGAACCAAGAAGAGATAGAAAACCTGAATAGATGAAAAACAAGCAACCAGATTGAAGTGGTAATCAGCAATCTCCCAGCAAAGAAAGCCCAGGTCCAGATGGCTTTACAACTGAATTCTATCAAACCTTTAAAGAGGAATTAATACCAATTTTCCTTAAACTATTCAAAAAAATCGAAACAGAAGCCACTCTCCCAAACTCATTTTATGAGGCCAACATAATTCTAATACCAAAACCAGATAAAGACATAACAAAAAAAAGAAAATTACAGGACAATATCCTTGATGAACATAGATACAAAAATCCTCAACAAAATATTAGCGATCAGAATACAGCAACACATTTAAAAACTATACACCATGATCATGTGGGATTCATCCCAGGGATGCAAGGTTCATTCAACATATGAAAGTCAATGAATGTGATACACCACATCAACAAACTCAAAGACAAAAACCATATGACTATCTCAATAGATGTTGAAAAAGCATTTCACAAAATTCAACATCCCTTCATGACAAAGACTCTCAACAAATTAGGTATAGAAGTAAAGTATCTTAACACAATAAAAGCTGTCTATGACAAGCCCACTGCCAGTATCATTCTGAATGGGGAAAAACTGAAGGCTTTTCCCTTATGAACAGGAACAAGATAAGGATGCCCACTCTCACCACTTCTATTTAACATAGTACTGGAGGTACTAGCCAGAGCACTCAGGCAAGAAAAAGAAATAAAGGGCATCCAGATTGGAAAAGATGAAGTCAACCTGTTCTTATTTGCAGATGACATGATACTACATATAGAAACCTAGACTCTATCAAAAAACTCCTAGAGCTGGTTAATAACTTCAGTAATGTTGCAGGATACAAAATAAATGCTCCCAAAACAATTGCATTTATATTCTCCAATCATGAGCTAACAGAAAGAGAAATCAAGAAAGTAAGGCCACTTACAACAGTAACAAAAACAATAAAACACCTAGGAATCAATTTAACCAAGGAAGTGAAAGATCTCTACAATGAGAACTACAAACCACTACTAAAGAAATTAAACTTCTTTAGTTTAATTTCCACAAAAAGATGGAAAGACAGTCCATGCTCTTGGATTGGAAGAATTAACATTGTGAAAATGTCTAAACTACCCAAAGTGATCTACAGATTCAATGCAATCCCCATCAAAATACCAATGACATTCTTCACAGAAATGGAAAAAACAATCTTAACATTCATATGGAACAACAAAAGACCCTGAATAGCCAAAGCAATCCTGAACAACAACAACAACAACAACAAAAAATAAAGCCAGAGGCATAACACTACCAGACTACAAATTATAGTACAAAGCTATACTAACTAAAATAGCATGGTACTGGCATAAAAATAGATACTTGGACCAGTGGAGCAGGACTGAGAACCCAGAAATCACCCCTCAGGCTTACAGCCATCTGATGTTTGACAAAGGCAACAAAAACCTACACTGGGGAAAAGACTGCCTCTTCAATAAGTGGTGCTGGGAAAACTGGATATCCATATGCAGAAGAATGAAACTAGATGTGCATCTCTCACCATATACTAAAATCAACTCAAAACGGATTAAAGACTTAAGTATAAGACCTGAAACTGTAAAATTACTAAGGGAAAATATAGGTGAGACACTTCAGGAACTAGGTCTGGGCACTGACTTTATGAACATGAGCCTGAAAGCACAAGCAACAAAAGAAAAAATAAACAAATGGGACTATATCAAACTAAAAGTCTTCTGCACAGCAAAGGAAACAATCAACAGAGT